AGATAGAAGGATCACCATGAGTTCAAGGCCAGCCTGGGGCACATAGGAAGCTCAAGGCCAGCCTGAATTACAAAAAGCAAAATTGAAACAAAACAAAGAGCCCAGTCTGTTGCTGGACACTGATGCATGTATCTTGGACCTTTTTGGCCCTGGTCTTCCTTCCAGCCATCATGCCTCAGTGAGTGGAGTCACTGGAGAAGAGGTGGCTCACTGTTTCTCATAGCTCTGGGGCTGTGGCTGGGACAGCACATTCTTTTTAGGATAGGCCTGGCGGTCCAGTTCCCCTCCTAGGGAGAGATATTTTATATTATTTAAATACTATTCAAAGCATGTACTCAGGTCAGGTGCATTCCCCCTCCACCCCAGAGACATAGGTAAATCCTAAAATAACAGCTGGAGGCAAGCAATGAGAGCTGATCCGGTACAAATACATTTCAAGTCCTTGTCTCTTTGGAAAGGTACTTTCCAATGACTTGGCATGTTTTAATTTTCCCAAGTTATGGTCTTGCAATATGTAGATGATATACTGTTAGGTCACCCCTCTAGCCAAGGCACCCACGCTCTGCTGGATTTTCCAGCAAACAAAGGTTGTTGAGTCTCTAGGTCTAATGCATGACTTTATAGCTTTCAGGTAGAATATCTGATTCCTCAGCTTATAAAGAAGCTCAAAAGACAGATACTCATATTTTAACCCAGAAACCTAATCCTCAAAATGCATTCCAAATGCTTAAAGAAAAAGGACTTCTAAACACCCCAGCTCTGAGCCTATCAAAAGGATATTGTTTCAATCTATATGTTGATAAAAGGCAGGACATAGCTTTGAAAATGCTTATGCAGGATCAAAGACCCACCTGCTCAACAGCCTGTGGGATATCGGAGTCATGAATTAGATCTTGTAGTGAAGAGATGGTCTTCATGCCTTAGAGTTGTGGCTTCAGTAACTCTCCTAACACCAGAGGCATCCAAACTGGCTTTAGGCAAAGATTTAGTGTATATACACCTTACAATGTGGCAGGACTTCTTTTTTCCAAAGGGAGCTTACGGCTATCAGACAACTGACTTCTTAAGTACCAGGCTCTATATCTAAAAAGACCAGTCATTCAAGTAAAGATGTGCTCCTCTTTAAATCCTGTCACCTTTCTACCAAAAAAAAAAAAAAAAAAAAAAAAAAAAAAAAAAAAAAAAAAAAAAAAAAAAAAAAAAAAAAATTGAGACCAAAAGACATGACTAAGGAAAGGTAATTCTCCATACATACACAGCCAGAAAAGACAGACACACCTCTTACTGACCATGATTTGACCCTCTTCTGTGATGGCAGTTCCTTCATATAGAATGGTACAAAAAAGGCAGGGTATGCAAGAGTGATTCTATGTCAGACACTCGAATGTTCCTCACTTGCCCCTGGGACTAGTGCCCAACTAACAAAACTCATAGCTGTGACTAGGGCTTTACAACTCTGTAAGGGGTAGAAAGTCAATATTTATACTAATGATGATTATATGTGGTTAATCCCCACTATAAACACCTGAGTAAAATGGCCCTCTTATGTTGAAGACAGAAAAATCACTCTTATTCTCATTGGCCTAGCTCTACTAGATATAGGGGATAGACATTCCCTGAGCAGTGTATACACAAAGTAAGTTTACAGGTTGAAGACTGGTTTACAACAGACTGGTTTAATTACCCCCAAAATAGATTAAAAAGTCCCAATTGCACTCATTGGTTCTGTATCCCTTAGATAACTAAGGAGATAAATCCTGAGACTTGCATGGTTACAAGGAAGAAGTGTCAAAAACACTGACAAACCTACAAAATTGCCCTGTCTACAACATCAACATCAATGTTCTAAAAGTATGTCTCACTAGTATGATCATTTGGCTTCTATCTTTAACCCTTCTGCAAGATTAGAAGATATATGACAAATTGAGGCCTTAACTAACTATACTCAATAGGCCTTAAATAACACTGCCACTGGTCTCTCTCTCCTAAGTGAAAAAATAAAAATTAATGAGGCAAACTATCTTCTAAAATCAGATCACATTAGATATTGTAACAGCAGAACAAAGAGGTACTTGTATAATTATAAAAGCTAAATGTTGTGTGTACATTCCTGATCCTTCTGGAATAATATCTCAATGGATGTTCAAGATATTAATTGACAGGTTAATGTCACATCAGATTCTAAAATTCCCTGGACCTTCTCCTTATCCTCTTTGTGGGAATCTGTTATTGGTTCTTCCTTCCAGAAACTTTTGTTGGTTATATTCATAATAGTCTAGTTGATTTTATTATTTGGCCCAATTACCCCTTTCAGCCAGAAATAGCTACAACAGTCTTCAGTCCTTGCCCCTCACAGAAGTTAGGGGTACCTCTTCAGAGGGGAGAATATTATAGACACCCAAGTTAGGTAGAAATATTATAGGCAATCAGGGCTAGACCCTTGAAAAAGTCAGTGCAAAGGTAAGAACACAATGCAACTGTGGCTAGAGGCTACTTGCTGAAGGCCAGGCCTCAAGATAAAGATAAAATGCACAAAAGTAGTAATGACTTTGAAAGCAAAGGACAAAAGAACCAAGGGAGAAGTTACTAGTTATGAAAGAACTCTCCTCCTCACAAGGTTTTAAGGACTCTCTGCTCCATCTAAGAGCAATCTGTACCCCTGAGGGAAGTCCCTGCGTGCCCCACAGCCACTTGTTATTTCCAGCATGCTCTCTTCCTAAATAACTATCCCTTGTGGAAGCCAAACATATTAAGTCTGTGTTATCAAAAATCCTTTATTTTTTTGCCTGGGAACTCCAAAGCAATATATTCCCAGCCTGAACAATATAGATAGATGTTTTTTGCCATTTTGGCAAAAATAAACTTAAAAAAAGAAAAAGATGAATGACTACACCTGCATACTTCCCCAGGGGATAAAGAATGATTGGTATTCTAAATAGCCATCAGTCACCTTGGGTTAGAAACCAAACCTCCTGACCCTTCCCTTCCAAAACAATCCCTGATCCATCCCTTCCAGGAAAGATTCTAGTTCTTCACCTGTCCGCTTGCCATGTAACTTGCTTCCCCATTAGTTCAGTATTAACTAAGCGACTATGCTTGTGATGTTATTGGCTGACCACAGTTTTGTTCCACCTTATACTCGTCTATTTCATACCTACCTCATGATTTTGCTCCATAAACTTCCTTTAAAAAGTGAGATTCTTAGCAACGCGATCGGGACCCCTCCTGTCTCTCAAGAGCTATGCCTCTACCCCTTGATAAACATTTCCTATTTTTTAAAAAAATGGATTCCTGTCATTTGTTGTTTCCTAATAAGTTTTTATTAGGAAATAATAACTAGCTCTGCAGAATTGAAAATATAGCTTTGTATTTGGTGGTTTGTCTTCTATTCTGATAAATATTTATAAGTATATTTTAATATTATTGGCAATAAATTATCAATTATTTTTTTTTTGGTACTGGGGATTGAACTCGGGTCCTTGTGCTTGCAAGGCAGGCCACCGAACCTCTGAGCTAAATCCCCGGCCCCTTACAAATATATTTTTAAATTATTGGCAATAAAAGAAAGTATTAAGGTACTGTCTTTGGAGGTTTAACAAAATACTGGCTAAAGTACAATTGTTAAGTTCCTTTGTAACCATAATGTTCAGATATCTCCTAAAATCTTTATAGATTTAGGAATAGACAATCTGATATCTTTAAGTTAAAAGAAAAACAACAACAAAATGTCAAAATCATGAACAAAAGAAATGAAAGAGTCATAGATTTGAATAATCAATTCCTTGCACTGATATAATGACAGTAAGTGATAAGTGTCTGTTTCAAAAAGCTTTTCCAGGGTATTCCCTTTAATTATTATTACTTTTTGAGACAGGGTCTCACTGTGTAGTTGAGACTGACCTGGACCCCTTTAATTTTAATGAGTAATATCCATACTGCAGAAGTACAAATAAATATACTAAGTGCATGAAAACAGATACTCAGTGTTGCAATCAAAGTTCTGATAAAGTTAGCAGGATTAACTAATTTATTCATAATGTTTTTCTTTTAGTGATTGTTGAAAATGTTTTAAATTCTACATAACTAGTTGGAACTATTCTTACTTCTTCCTTGATTATTACAAAGGTCTCTTTACTTCTTGTTCCTATTCCCCTCCAGGTTTGCAGCAAGAATAAGTGACCCAGGCTGGGGATTTAGCTCAGTGGTGCTGCTGCCTGCCTCACAAGCGTAAGGTCCGAAGTTTGATCCCTGGTACAAAAAAAAAAAAAAAAAAAAAAAAATCAGTGACCCAAGTAATCCAAGCAAGTCCAAAGCAGATCATGCTACTCTTCTTTCAAAGCCCTCTGATTCTTTAATATCTCAATTAGAGTGAAAGCCAAGGCCTCTACAAAGTCTTACAGGAACCTTTTCTCTTACCTCTCTGGCTATTCCTAGTCACTTACCTCTTTTAGTTTCTCACACACAGTAGACATGCCCCTACCTCAGAGCCTTTGCCTCATGTTTCCTGAGACATCCTCCAGACTCACTCGGTTTTGCCTTCAGATCAGCAAGAATTTTTCTTTGCTACTATCACAATACACTGTCCATTTTGTTTGTTCAAATTTGTTTACCGTCTCTCTCTCTCCTACAAGAATTTAGGCTCTGTGAAAGAAGAGAATCTTGTCTATTTTAGTCACTATTGTTTTCCCAGTACTTAGAAGGGGAGCCTTATAAAAGATACTCAGTACAAGTTTTCTGATGTCACATATAAATGGTCTCTAAATGTTTCCACTTTCATACAGGTGTCAATGCTTCAAAGACCACCAGGAAAAATCTACTATGATCATTACTTACGATAAGTCAACTTAAATGGATTAAACAATGTCTAGTGGATTGGTAGAGCACAGTTTTGTGTGTGTCTGTGGATGACTAACATGTGGGCTTCAAACTAAAGACGGAAGATCCTCTCCGGATGGCACCAACCAATAGGGTTGTGTCTTGGATGGAATAAAAGGGAAAGAAGCACGTGTTTCCTCTGCTTCTTCAGAGGAGCTCTGCTCTTCACCATCGCCTTTGGACGTTTGCCTTCCAACACAGATCCTTCTGACACAGAATCCTCAGCCTTCAGATACAGCTTGCACTGGACTCTGCAGTGAACTCCAAGCCTTCAACTTTCAACTGAATCCTTCACTCTCAAACATCCAGACAGCCATTTTGCATTCTTCCACCCCTAATTCTACAGGTAACCATTGTAAGCCTACTTTGAAAAACAATTTATATATAAATAAGTTGGGCTTATTCTCCCTGCTACATCATGGTGTTCACACCATGAAGAACCATGAGATATCATAACAAGATGTTAGAAAGAAGCTGTAACAGGATTCTGGCTTTAGTTGGATAATGTAGGGGAAGGCAAGGATTCACTCTAGAGTGTAGTTTGTCAGAAGGCAGAGGGAGTCACATTCTCGGGTAAAGAGTAGTAGTCAGCCAGCTGTGGTGGCACGCACCTATAATCCCAGAATTTTGGGAGGTTGAGGCAGAGGATCACTAGTTTGGGCTCAGCCTGGCAATTCAGTGGTTTAGTAATACCCTTTCTCAACACAAAACATAAAAAGGGATAGGAATGTAGCTCAGTTTGAAGGCTCTGGGTATAATTCTTAGTACTGGAAAACAAGTAGCTGTCATTCTTTCATTAGTTCCTTGTCATTTTCTGTGTCAAATTCAAAAGTGGTCTTGCTTTGTCTTATTTTATTGTGGTATAAAAATAAAAAAGTTCAGCTGCTTGTGATAAATTAGAAAGAGAAGAAGACAGTGAGCCCAGCAATCAAAAGCTGGTAGTGGTACAAATTAAGCCATTTAGTTCTCCTATTATAGACACGCATAGTCTCACAGAATACAAACCTTAACTAAGTTAATTAACCTTTTGGGGAAGAAGCAAGATGGGAATTAGGAATAACAAAGCAGAACTACCACCTCCAAGTATACGTCCTACCTATATCGTTCACTCTCTGGGGCATGCAAAAAAATACATTCCAGCTCTGTGTTGTCTTTGTCACATTTACATTTCTGTCTGACAAGGTCAGGGCTATGAAGCCGAGATCAATGCAATAGCAGCTAAACTTTTCTGTTGCTCTTTCTCTGCACCAATATTGTTGTTTTTTGGTGGGGGGAGTACCATTTAAAGGTGAAAAGGATAGATTAAGTCTCCAATTTATAGGGTTACTTTGTCTTAGAAACCTTTAGGAAACTTTATTATTGAGTTTTCTGGAAGGGGAAAATCAAGGTTTGAGAAAATTTTGTGTACTCAAGTTGCAATTCTTTTTCAAAAGTGTACTTTAAAAATTTCGATTTTCTTATCACCTTTTTAATCAGATTTTTATTTTTTCTCTTCTACCTCATTCTGTCCTTTTGTGAGACTTTAGTCTATGGCTTTTAAGGGGTACAGAAATACCAAAGACTTTGTTTCCATTTTTTTCTTTTCTAATATTTTTTCCTTTCCCTTCTTTCCTTTCTCTTACTCCTCCTGCTTACTCCTCCCTTTAGACCTTTTCTTCATGTTTCACATGGTCTATTATACATTTTGATTCTTATTTACACTTTTAGTTTCTCACACCAGAGAGACTATTCAGTATTTACACATGTGTGTCCTGTTTATTTCACTTAAAAGTATAGCCCCAATGCTCACCCATTTAGCTATAAATGTTTCTAGTTTCTCCTTCTTTATGTTTGAAAAGTACTCCATTTTATTTAAAAAAAACCACACATCTTCTTTATCCAGTCTCCGGTTGATGGGTAATTGGGTTGTTTTCAAGTTTAAACTATTACAAACTGTGCTGCTATAAACATGTGTATATATTGCTATGGTATGATTTTTAAAAATTCTTTTGGGAAGATACCCAGAAGGGGGATGGCTGGGTCAAATGGGATCCCTAATACTATTTTTTTGAGGTGTTTCCATATTGATCACCACAGTGATTGCACAATCTGCACTCCCAACAACAATGGAGAAGGGTTCCTTTCTACCCACCCACCCCCCAGCATTTGTTTTTGGTTGATTTCTTTTTTTTTTTTTTTTTTTTTTTTTTTTTTTTTTCTTCTCTTTTTTTGGTACCGGGATTGAACTCCGGTCCTTGCGCTTGCAAGGCAGGCCACCGAACCGCTGAGCTAAATCCCCGGAGGTTGATTTCTTGATAGCAGCCATTCTTTCTGGAATGAGATAGAATCTCATTGTTTTCACCTGCATCTCATGAATGACCAATGATGTTGAACATTTCTTTTTCATATGTTTATTTGCTGCTTTTACTTCTTTGTTTGAGAAAAGTCTTCATTTCATATGCTCATTTTTGGATTGGTTCTTTAAATTTGGGGGGTCTGATTTTTTAAAGTTCTTTATATATTCTTTTAGATAGTAGACCTTTGTCTGAGGAACAGCTGATAAAATTTTTCCCCATTATAGGTTGTCTCTTAGCTCTGTTGGTGGTTTCTCTTGCAGTGCAGAAGCTTTTTAATAGGATTAGATTCCAGTTGTTAATTCTCAAGGCTAGCTCATGTGCAACTGAAGTTTTGTTCATAAAGTCTTTATCTATGCCAATATTTTCAAGAGTTCTACTTAACCTATCTTCCAGCAAGTTTAGTTTTTCTGTTATAATATTTAGATTCTTAGCCCATTTTGATTTTAATTTAGTACATGGTGAAAGATATGTGTCTAGTTTTAATAATGTGGCACTGACCATCTTATTTTAACTTTTGCCCTCTAGTCAGTAGCAAACAAGATAGTATTTTTTAACACAATAGTGTAATTATAACCTTTAGTATGAGTTTACCCCATATTTTGGGTGGCATTGTTTTTTTTTTATTATGAATAGTTTTTTTTTTCTAAAAATGGGTGCTGCTTGGCTGAGTTGCCCCATAGTAGATTTCAGTCAAATATGCTTATCTCAGATCTTAAAATATTTATCTATCAACTGGTGGTTATCTGTTATCATGTGTGTTTTAGGAGTTTTAAGAGCTTAGGAGATTTTAGGAGTTTTAGGACTTTAGGATCTCGATACTTTTATATTTGAGTATTATTGTGACTACAGAAAAACAAAAAACTTATGGCTTTCATTTATTGGCCATTGAGAGACATTAGACCTGGTAGGGAAGTTTAAGAGAGTTGCTACACTTTGAGCTGTTTATTAAAAATTTGAAGCTTTATTTAATCTTTCCTTTTACCATGATAGCACAGATGTACTAGAATTGGGCAATTGTCTACAAACCTAGAATGTATCCTTGTTAATGTTTTTGCCATATTGTTGGGCCTAGTTAAGGAAAACATTAGTTTTCTCATTGGAGAATAGTATAAGGGTTAAGAAAAAAAATGAATTGTTTGACTTCAGTTTTAGATTGTCATGGCTATAAGTTATAGGTGCAGCTGAAAATTGTCAGCAGGGGATGATGTAGTATTTGGACCCCCTTTATATATATATAATAGTATATATGATACTATGTGTGT